GTTCCAGCAGTGACAGTCTGGAGTGGTGGGAGTGGGGCTGCCAGAGTGACTCCTCAATGGTCACAAAGGAAAGTTTTCCTTAACAATTTAAGGGAAAAGGAGCTGCCAGCATGTAGTCATTCCCCTGTCAAAGAGTGTCCTGTAGTCTTTGAAAAGTCCTGTTCTTTGAAATCAAAGTAAATGCTGCAGTAAATGAGACCTGAGAGCATTTGCTCCTAGCTTATTGAAATGTATGAGTTGTGGCTTGTCAGGCAAACAAACAAAAAAGCCCATTTTCAAAAGCTTATTTCTTTGGCTTTACCCAGTGCTTAATTTAATCCACTGTTTGTCTCTATCAACATAGCTGTCTTCCTTTGCCTGGGGTTTACAGTGCAGAGAGGAAATTGTTCAAGATCTGAACCTCTCTCATCTTTTTTCTTTTTTTTTCCTGACTAATTGTCGTGGTTAGCTGGTTGACTCACAGAGCCCGTGATGCCTTCAGAGGGCAGCAGCAGCCTCTGCATTCCTCCTCTGGCTTGGCAGTGCTTACCAAGACTCAGCTCGGTGTGGAACAGAGAGTGAGGGTCCGTTCAGCAGCAGGCACTGCTGTTTGTGGGGGCTGTGGAGAAACCAGTGGAGCGTTTGAGGGAGTGACTCTTTGCTTTGCAGGTGTTTTCTTCCTACATTGCTTGTTTGAGATTGGAGGCTACCCCAGTAAGGGCAATGGGCTTTTGAGAGTCTTAGGGGAAAGCAAATTTGTCCCTGTGTCTGACCCTCCAAGCCAGCTGTCCCTGGGACAGTGGCACTGCTCACCTCTGTACCCACTGGGTGCTGTGGGGTCTGTGGCTCAGGTTGTACTGGGTGTTGCTGCAGAAAAGGCAGGTTTGGGAGGAGGAGGAGAGCAGAACCCACGGGCCAAGCCCTGGAAAGCCTTTCTTGCAGTGAGGGGTCCAAAACTGAACACAGGATTAGAGATGTGGCTCAAAGGAACTCTGAGTAAGTACAGTTCCATGGGAGAAAGGCCTACCCAGGCTTTTACCCTTTCTCATTTTGGGAAGGACACGTGATGGTGTTGGATGCACAGTTCTGACTCTGAAATCTGGGGACATTTGGTCTGGGATGTGGCAATTTTCGTTAGAATTTATTTTTCTTATCTTTATATAGATACATTATTATGTATTATACATGATCTATTTACAATATACATTTGTATATATTTAATACAGTACATCAGTATAATACTGCATTAATAATTTAAAACACATATTTTTATGTATATAATATGCTTTTTTATTTGTGTATCGAGTTTGTTATCTTTATAATTACTTTATTTCTCTGAGACTATTACAAATGGACTGAGAATATACAGGAACCAGAAATAGGCAGAGGTTAAAATATGGCTCCTTTGCATTCACACCTTGGTTTCTGCTGCTGTTTGAAAGCAGCCAAGCAACCAAGAAGTCCACTGTGGCTGTTCATCATTGTCCTGGGTGTTTGGTGGTCTGACCTCCCTTTTCCCAACACTAGTGACTTGCCTTTCAGGATAATTATGCTTCTACCCCTCTAAAGTCTAAATCCTTTCCATTCCCAGAGGATTCAGATCATGTACACACTTTACAGATCACCGAGATGAGATTAAAATACTCAGTCCCTGCATTTTATCTAGAAGGATGAGTACATGCACATGCCTGTATAAAGGACTTCTGGATGAAGAAACTCAAGTTCAGGGAGTTGTTTCTTGAAGGTGAATCACACTAGAGGCACTTGCTTAGGCAAGTCTAAACTCCACACAGTGAAGTTTATCACATCTGGGTGTGATACTGAAACTAGGAACACTTGTATGTGTCACATTTCCCTGGCAGCACCTTCGCTCCTTAACAGTCTCTTAACAAAGTCCAAGGTCATTCCTGGCTGAAACTATTCCTTTATTAAAGGCAGCAACAGAAACAAAGTTAAATCTTGGAGAGAAACAAGTCCATGCAGGCAGGAATACCAGAATGGAAATACAAATACTAACTCAGGCATACTGTTGTAGGATTTAATAGGCCAAACTCCTGGACTTCACAGCTTCACCTGACTCCTGCTGTGTGAGCAGGCAGAGACAGGAGCAGCTGCTGCTGAAGACAGAAAGAAAAACCAGCAAGTTACTAATACTGGTCTGTAGCAGGAGTCAGGACTCTGCACATCAGGTGAGACAAAGAAAGGTTTGTGTTACTGCCTTTTTTTTTTTTCCTTCTTTCCCCCTGTGTGTCAATTATCAACTGAGTTTCTGTTTGAGAGGACTAAGAAACAGAAATCTCACATTTTTGGACTGTCACAGGGCTTCTAGGAAGCTATCTCTGCTGCTTCTAATCAGCTGAGAGAATGGAGGAGGGTTTTTTTTTTTTTTTTTTTTCAAAATTGTCAGTACCCAACTGCTAAAACACTGCTCTGTTTATGCCTTGTTCCCTTCACTGTTGAGTGGGAGTGTCCACTGTTTAGTGCACTGTCTCTGGACAAAAGCCACCAGAAAACACAGCCAATGACTCCATTCTGCCCCAGGCCAACACTTGTCATTTCTGGCCAAGTCAAGTCAAACCTGCTGGTATCTCAGTGAGAAACTCTCAGCTGCAATCTTCAGGTCCAGGGGTAGACCAGGGCTTTTCCCTGCTTCATCAGAGGTGCAATAACCTTTCCCCCTGGCATTGCACAGCAGCTCCTGGAGGCAGCAAAGAGCTGGCTGCACCAAAGGAGCAGCATGGAATCTCTGAACTCGGGATCAGAGATCACTCAGAGCACAAACCAAAGGGAAAAGCAATAATGTTCCTGTTGCAGAACCTCCTCCTCACACACAATTTCATGAAGTTTCCTATTCCATCGGAGAGGAAAACCCCCAGCCAAAATGCAACTTTCAGAGCTGTGAACTGCAAGTGGTTGTTTCAATGGAGCAAACATGGTCAAAGAACATGATCACCAGAAGACCAGACAGTGAAGCAGGGCCCCAGCATTTGAGTGGAAAGATTATTTTCATGATACTATAGCTCAGTCTTTATTTGCTCTGCATTCAGCATGCACTAGCAAGGTAAATTATTTATTTAGTTGTTGGTTTTTTTTTTTAAACAGAAATAATTGCCGTGTTTTAGAAGGGTTGAGAAGTGATGCCAACACTTCCACTTGGGACAAAACATCAGTGAGGAGAGACTCAAGATATGATCACTGCTTCAGAATCTTTCTGCTTCTGTGCAGACAAGAAGAAATGAAAAAAAAGGACAGAAGAAACAAAGGCACTTCTGGCTGGGGGTTGGCTTTTTTTAATGCTGCTGCAAACTGGGAAGGACTGCAGAACTAGCATGAAGTCTTCACCCATTCTGAGCCCTGACAAGCTTAATATAACTTAAACATGTATTTATCAAGGTGGTTAGGATTAATTGTAAAAACCTAAAACCAGCAAAGGAAAAAGACCTGAAGGCCACAGCTCCTGACATTTGGTACTTCAAGGTCACCAGGACTATCAGGTCCTGTGGGGGTGGTGATGGCACAAGGGTTGACTCAGTCCAGTGTGCTCAAGCTCTCCCTTCCAGAGGGGACAAAGGCTCAGTGGTGGCAAATGATGAGGGTGAGACTGGTGCCAGGGAAGTGTTTCCTTTGGTAAGTTTTTGTGGTAGCATAAGAATTTCCTAGTTGAGTGGTGTGAGATTTTTGGGTTTTGTTTTTTTTTTTTTTTTTAATCCAAGATGAGTAACAGGCAGAATTCATCAGCCTTCTTACTCATTTCCTCCAGACAGGCCTTAGATTCCCTCCTCACTTTTTTTGGTCCATTAACCTCCCCTTATATTGCCTTGTATTTGCTGCATATGACAACGCCACACTCGACCCTTTTCAGGGCTAATTCAGGAAGTTTTGTTGACTTCTGTAAATGCTGTCTTGGAGTACACTAAATAGTCTCAGCTTCTAAATGAGTGACAGCACAGAAGAGCTGAAGTTTAGCACAGTGTAGTAAGGAATGGTACAAGGAGTTTCTCTTTCCAGCCAGAACAGCTGGAGTGTTGGCCTCATGCTTTTTGGGGATGAGGAAGGTAGCAAAGCAACTGGTTTGGCACTAGTTAAGGATTTTAGCTAAAACAAATACATCATTGTAGTGACTTCACAAGAATAAACTGGTATTTGTTCAAGAAAATATCCAGAGTATCCTGGCCCATATTTGGTTCAGCGTTTTTTTTTTTTTTCAGGAATGTACAGGTACATTTCCATTTGTATTTACACAGCTGTGAACATGCTCCTATATTGCTGCTCTTCTGCTTCTGTATGTGGACTTTCCATTCCTGGAGCAGCTGCAAATGCCAGTTTTTCCTGCTTAAAAAATGGTCATTATTACTCCATCTCATCAAAAGAAGATTTTAGTGCACTTAAAATACAGAACACTAAAAACGGATTAACACAACAGTTAACCAAAAGCTGAGCAAGCCTTCCTATGCATTACTCACGGAAGCTATTAGGACGAACCTGGCTGAAAGACAAAGTCACAATTAACTTGATATTAACAGCACATTACTGCCATACCTCTAACTTTACTCAGAACAATCTTAAGGTTTTGAATATCCCTTCCTGCAGATGCAATTAAAAACAGATCCAGGCTGAGATAAATTGGAGATTGCAATAAAGTACTTCTCCCTCTGGTTTCTGGTCTCAGTCTCCTGCAAAGTTTCAGCCCATAGTTGCTTTTATGACAAAGAAGCAAGCAGATGTGGCCAGAGAGGTGACAGTGTGCAGCTTTTTTGAGAGTTACATCTTCAATTAAAGGATGATTATGAGAACACTTCGTTTATTATCTATTACATGAGCTGTATCTTCTAGTAACGAATAAAACTATGAAAACACCCTTTATAAATGCTAGAAGGTTTTTATCTTGAAATATATTCTTTGCTTTCTTGGTGCTATGTGATACCAGCCACCTCTGAAACCCACAAGACAAACTAGCACAACAGTCCTGTATCAGTTAATATTTTCGAATAGCCATATGAATAAAGATGCAACATGCAGTGCACAGTTTAATTAGTTTATTTTTAAAAGTTCTGTCAGAAACATAGCTGTGCATCAATTACAAAATATATTAAACTATCAGTTCATCCAAGGGAACAGGAGTACTTTCATTTTGTTCAAATGCACACCAATACAAACCTTTAACATTGATGCAGAACAATCTTTTGCATCCATCAATGTGTTTGGTCTGCTGCCATCTCTAAATAAGAATAGAAAGGTCACCCTGATTTCACTTCATTAGCAAGTTTAATCCCTTGATAGCAAACAACATAGCATGAGACTGCTTAAAAAACAACTCTATACATCTCACATTATCTGAGCTCCCACATATACATTACATACCAACATTTTTAGCAAAATAATTTTCCCTGCCCTGCAGGGGAAGACATTCAGAGGCAAAGAGATAACATGTTCATAATATATTATAATTGGAAAATTTGTGCCGTAGCAGCTTTGCAAATACACATACAAAGAGTCGGTGACTTAAAACATGTTAAAGACAACAGAAATTTGGAAGATAAAAGAAGCTAAGCCACTTCTTAAACCACCTTGAGTTCTTGTAATGCTGCAAAGCATTGAGTTACAAAACAAAACCCCATTGCTGAACAAGTTACACAGGACACGAGTTAATTAAAATATTTCTCTGATTTAGAGACAACGCTGCAGACCTTTCTCCTACCATTTAAATGGTTCTAGCAATTATACCTCAATCCACCACGGTAAAACAAGTTCTCGAAAGAAGAGATATGAAGAAAGGGGAAAGAGGAAAATGGAACAAGTACATGAATAAATATTTCCTTAACATTTATAACCTTTTTATGACAGTAAGATTTAACTGATACCTAGCAAATTAGCTCTAACAGTCTCTCATGTAGTACACTCTGACATTACAGTAATTTGACATCACTCAGAGTTCTAGTTGGCAATATAAAAATACAAAACCAGTAGAATAGCAGCAATGAATAAAGCGTCCATATTACTGTGGCCAATACAGAATTATACATGCAGTAGCCTTCTATTCCCTATTGGCTTGTGCTATTGTACAATTTTAACCTGAATCATTTACACCCTGTCACCACAGGGAAATTTCCTCCTCTGAGGCAGAAGTACATCAGATCTAGCAGAAAAGGTTCAAAGCAAAAATTCCATTCAGAATGCAAACCTTCAAAAGCAAAGAAAGTGTTAATGCATTTAGTGGGTCTTCAGTATAAGAGATCCGAACAGAGAATAAGGACATTTTTCTCATTGCTAGGGTTGAGGAAGGACCTGAAGCAGGATGAAGCTCTCAAATGACAAGTGTTTTTTCTGACTGCCTCCTCCTCCCTCCCCTCCTGCTCCCCAAAAAATAAGAAGGGTAACAAAAGAGAATGGCGGTTTTTGAGCATCTTGAAAAAAAATGAATAGGTAACACAGCCCCAAAATGGAGAAGTCCTGTACAGTGCCTTCTGTGCAGAGTGGCTCTGTGCACTGCCATGGATATCGACAGCTCCTGGTTAATGGCTCTACTGGGAATGCTCCAACTGAAGACACTCCAGAACAATTCAGCTGATAGGAGGAGGCTATGCAATAGAAAATCTACTTTGGTTTCAAAGCTGAGGTCCTTTCCCTATTTTCAGTAACATATGCTCACCTGGCCCCTAATGACAGAGAATACACTGAAGTCACCAACAACTAACTGCATTTACCATTAGTCAGGAAGTTGATGTTTCAATAGTGACAATGCTCCATTGAACCCAGTCCCTCTTCCATCCAATAGGTTCTACCTGCAGCAGAAATTTTACTCATCTGGATATGATGAACAAAGTGGTAGGTTGGGTCCTGGATCTTTTACCTCTCATGCAGGCAGGCAGAGTCCCTCTCAAACCACTCAAGTATTTCTTTAGTCCTGTTTATATTAAGCCATGTGCCCTTTCCCCACTGGTATTGCTTTGATGAGGCCAAATAATTGGAACACTCTTCACTATCTCTTAAGCTGCAGTGTCTCCAGTCTTTAGGTTGTTTCACTAATACATATAAGCTCATGCATCGTTTAGTCCTTTCTTCAGTATCTGAACATGTACTTGGGTTATGGGGTTAACAAAACCTTTTCCTTACCTCCTTTTGAAGACAAGATTCAGAACTTTATCAGCACCATGAAAGTTAAAATTTTTAGCACCACTGAACTTGAACTGTTCAGCTTTGACTGGTCAAAATTAACATTTACATGGCATACAATCAGTCAGTACAGAAAACAATACACACAGCATTAGGAACCTCATGAATCTTTGACACAGTGAATCTAGTGTTTGATAAATGAGTGACTATGGCAGCCAGATTTTCTTCCTAAAAGCAAACAGGATTACAGTTTTTCCTCATGCTGCCGAATTAATAAGTTTTCCTTACCATCCAAATGGCTGAGTTGACCCAGCCCCTATTGTCTAAAGGGACAGGAAATACCCCCAGCAGCTGGATGCTGATATGGCCAGCTGCCCATGGAGAATTCACAGGGGATGACTTGGGTATGTCACCCACAACACCAAGAGATCACTTGAACAGATGCCAGTCACAAGTTCAGCTTTGGTACGAATTCAGGTTTCAACAGCAGTAAAACAAATTCTGCATCACCCTCTCTGTTTAGTACATCCCTTTGCTCATGTGTGCACTCACAACCTGGAACATGTCCAGCACTAGGAGATCCCACCAGCACAAAGGGATTTCATTCAAATGCTAAACTTTTGTATCTCTTGGTGATTGTGGTTGACATTCTGGGCCTAGAGCACACACTTAGAGAAGTATCTATCAAAATAAAGAGAATTAGGGAGGCACCTTCAGACCACATTACAAATATTTCTTCACTGAACTCAGCTCAGTCATTTAGCCTTCTCCACAACACTACCTCATATCTTTTGGAAATACCAACATCAACTCTGCATCAACATGCAACTTCCTGAAGGAGGAAAGGGCCAAAGCATACCTGAACCCTCGGTGACATGAACAAAGTCTTAACCCTAACTTCAAACTTCAAGAGACACATAGCCAATGCAAAATTCTAGATAAGTTAATACAGAAACCCTCTAAACTTTCCCAAGCTTTGAAAAAACAAATGAAAGAAATCCTTTATTAACAGTGCTCCTTCCTTGCAACAGCATCTATTCCAAGGCACTGAGGTGAAAAGACTTACTGGTCTATTTGACATGACTGAAGTTTTACCAATCTGAGATGCACAGGTTCTGCAATAGGATTTTCTTGCAGGCAGTTAAGTTTTGATTAACACTTCATTTAGTTAGCTTGCTACAGAAGTAGCTCATTTTAAGAGAGAACCTTACCAAATATTTAAACATACGAGCTCACGTAGAAAAAAACATACCAGCAACAACAAAGTTCCATTCAGGTGAAGATCAGTCCTTTACAAACACAGCCTTTGTGGGCAACGAAGCTCTTCTGTGATCTGAGTGGAAAGACAGGAGCGAGGCTCCGCTGCCGTGGTGAGGGCTGGCAGGTTACATGGCTCCATCCGTGCTGCGGGCCTGGAATCCTTCTCTGCGGACACTGTTCAAGTCCAGGCGTGTCAGGACCTCGCAGCGCACCAGCAGCGTGTCGTCCTTGATGAAGGCTCTCTGTTTCAAGCTCTGCAGGTGCATGAACGTCACGTAACCAAAACCTTTCGGATTGCGTTGGATCGTCGGTCTCTGGAAGGCCAGCAGCTCTGGCTTGGCTTCCATCACCTCTTCGTGGTTCTGCCTTTCTGGGCCTTCTGACTGATCCAAAATAGAAAGTCGGATGGTGCCTTGGAAAGGCCAGGGCAGGTGGCTGTCGTATTCCCCTTGCATAGTGTGGACAAACAGAGAGATAAAATTAGCACAGCGCTGAGCATTTGGTAACTGGATATGCAGGCGCAAGCACAGCTTGTAGCCAGGCCTCCCTGTATAGAAGCCAGGACTGTGCATCACTACAGGTCTCTCTTCTTCCTGGGCTTTCTGCAGTTCACTGAAGTTCTCAATCTTCCAGATATAAATACCGTTACATTGCTGTGCCTCCATTTCGGTAATCTTTCCCTCCAAATTGCGGATAGTACGTTTGAGTTCTGCCATGTGAGTGTTCTGAGTCTCCATTTTAGCAATGAGTTCCCTGATTTGGTGATCTTGCCTTACCAGACGACCTTCCAACTGCTGAATCGTTTCCTTGAAGTTTTCAACTTCTGGATTGCAGTCATATGCAGCGTGTGACACGTGTGAGAAGAGGGTAGGCTCAAAGGGTAGGCCGTTGATGAAGGGTACAGGGTTTGCAGCAGTAACACTGATATTCTGGAAACTCTGAGCCATCATCCTCATGTGAACCTGAGTGAACTCCTGCATATGTCGTGCCAGTTCATTCCTTTGCATCTAGGATTTAAGAGATATGGCATTAGGAACACATCAATCATCTGCAATCTCATTTTAAATGTGGCTCTGAAGAAAATCAAACAAGTAGTTGTTTTTGTTGTATGAGAAAAACTGCAGTGTGAATCAAGGACAAAGGTGTGACAAAGAGCACTTTACCAATGGAGAGCTCCACATTTAAGATCACTGTTAGGAAAAATGGAAAAAGAAGTTCAAATACCAGCGGGCAAATCACAGAATCATTTAGGTCGGAAAAGACCTTTAAGATCTTTGTGTCTTTGCCCTGGTGTTGATACAGCTGGGGTTCAACAAAAGCATAGATATGAGGTGATTTCAGCATAGAATTGTTAACCTGGGAACTTAAGACAGAACTGACATAAATGACTGCAATAGGAATCAGATATGTGCATTATTGTTTTTGTTGGCTTGGGACTTCAGGATGTCCCAGACATATTCTTGTAAGAATATTTATCATTAATAATAGCATATTGTATAGTTGCATAATTCTATGTAATGATTAATAAGGGAATCTTTGATTGTATTTTTACAGAAGCTACAGCCTATCTCCAGGAAAGCAACAAAATTTAAATTCTCCAGAAAAGGCTGGGAACAACTTCTTACTAAAGGCCAAGACCCACACTTCAAATGGAGGCAATTTTTACTAAAAGACCTGAAGTATTTCAGTAGGAACATATTTCAAACTGTGAACCTGGAAGTAAAAGCAAGATATGAAGTAATGTGGAGTACTTTATACTGAAAACATTCTTGTCAAATATTCCAAGGGCAAGCACTGTGTATTCAGTATCACCTTCTTGTTAATGAGCATTCATAATAAAAAAATTCAGGTTTTGTAGGAGTGATAATTTCCCTATGAAAGCATCATTAATTATCGTGTACACTTTCAGTAACACTGTTCAACTCAAGACAAAGACATGGTGAAAGACTGTTCATGATAAATATATTTAGAATTTTTCTGTGTTCTAAATGAGCACTGTACTCCCTTCATTGATTTGCTAAAATGCTCCATAGCATCCAACGGTGTATGAAAACTAATGTGGAAATGAATGGGAAAGACCCATTTTTACCAAGAGGTATTAAAAAATTAGAAATAAAGAGTATCAAGATAAATAATTTTAGAATTTAATAAAATCTATTTTCTTCATGGAACTCTAGGAGTCATAAGCATATTTGGCCACAACTTTGGAAGAAATGCTACAAGCTACTTTGACATGAAAGCTAAAAAAACCTGAAATAATAAAAGCAAGGTCATCAAGCAAATTGTTCACACAACTTTTTATATTTGAAAAAGCAATTTTGAAATTAAATGTATCAACATGCACTGTTTCAGAATTAAGATACCTCAAAAAACCCACAACCACAAATCACTGAGGATTTTGGGCTGGTGAAGGAGAGACGAATAGGAAAACACATTACAAAAGCAACAGGCAAAATCATGCAGGAGGTCTGCAATTCAGAATGTACTGGTAAAAGGCTTACCTTTTCAGGACATCCAAAGGCACTGTAAAAACATGGCACTGGGGCAGTAGGACAATCATTGTCATAATGGTTAGGCATCTAAAACAAATCAGATTTGATATTACTTCTCTATCAAGAGTATTCTCTTATCCAAAAAGGATACAGCTGGATGGATTTTGAACAGGTACCTAAGTCAGATCAGTTTATATCTATGTAATTTCTTAAGGGAATATGGGAGTTTTGAACAAAAACGTTAGGTGATGATAAAAATTATATATCCCACTTGTATGTAGTGTAACAATTCGTTGACTTTGTTCTTATGTTAGGTCTCAGAAAGCATTCAGGTTTCCTTGCTAAAAGAAACATCTTTTGTTTCTTAGCCTATCCTCCAGCAGATCATGTTCAATTCCTCCCCTTCTGAAGGACTACTTGCACATACTTATTGTGTCTTTCTTTATTATCATCTTCCTCAAAAAGTTCAAGTTACTTCAATTTTTTCTGTGGTCCATATTTTCCAGATCCAGATCAGTCATCTCACTGCTCTGGATCCTCCCTATCCACCCCCCTCAAAAGCACAACAACTTCAGCTGATGCTTAGGAGCCCTAAACAGAGCAAAGGATAATTCAGTGTTTCACGGGCAGAATCCCTGTTTATACAACCCCAGGTGTTTGCCTTGTTTCAGTATCACAATGAAACACAAGGCTAATAAAGATCAGCTGTTATTAAGAATGTTTAATATTCTCTGTTCCCCACTTCTGCAGTTCATTTGTCTACCTAACAACAGACTTTTTCCTTTGTCATTACTAAGCTCAATCCTGTTTTTCAGAGTATTTGTGCCATTTTACAAGATCACTCTTTATTTTAATCTAGGCCATTAACATAGTTGCCATCTCAAATTAGACAAATTAATATTGATCATTTTCCTGCCAATGAAGTTAGTATTAAACAGAAAAAAAAATATTGGCTACTACAACAGTAATGGACAAGCAGAATTCCAGCCAGTATCCCAGTTTGATAGTGAATTTACTTATAGCTACTTTCCAAAACAAAAACTCTCCCTCTCTGCCCAAATCAAAGCCTCCTCTTGTAATGCCAGCCATAAGCACTGGCAGTTATTGGTATTTTTTCAACTCCATTCAAGATCAAAGGCATGCAGCATGGCCCCTGTCAAGAAGCAGTACAGATGAACAATGTGATGTGCAGCCAAAATCCTGCAGAGGCTTGCCAGACTGCAGCTACAAACTGGAGCAGCATTTCAGGGAGTATCACACCTGGGCTGGACGTTTTCAGAGAGGCAGGTAGTGATTTAGCAGGCAGTAGAAAAACTGTATCTCTGAGTTTAATTTTACATTGAAGAAGTGATGTAAATACAAAACATCTGACTTGGAATAAACAGAGAAAATGGGAGTCTCTTACCTGCTCTCTGATGAGAACTGTGTTGCAGTATTCGCAATATACATTGGCAAGTGGGCAGGTCTGGTCATGAAGCTTAAGGGATCAAACAGAAAAAAAGAAAGGGAAAAGCATTAGTAAAGTTAATTATGCATTTAGCTGTATGCAACTGTGAAACAAAGACAATCCCTTCACCCTGAACAGTATGTCTTCTATTACTGTTTCTTCCTGGATTTATACAAGAGATTCATAAAGTTGCAGATATTTTATTTCCTAAAGCTCTTATGCTGGAAAGAAATCTGATTTTAACAGTAAATTTCTAAAATTCACGTTCAATTATACTGGAACTATATGAAAGCACTTTTTGTGTTTGCTTTTTATTTGTATTATTGGACTATATTAGGTGTGTTTGATTGACAATTCACAATATTAATATACAACGACATTTAATAGTCCTTGAGCTAAAACACATCCATATGGAGATAAAGAAATGGTAACAGCAAAAGGAAAGTATTATCCTCGGTATCACCCAAGTGAAAAATGCAGAGCCAGGAGAAGAATTCAGAAATCATCTTGGTCTTGTGTGGTAGCAGATATCCCCTAAAGATTTATCTCCTGATACATCCTCCCTCCCAGGCATAAAAACTGCACATGTAAATACTGCATTTTGTATTCTATGGGCAGTAGATACTGGCCTGTCTGATGGCAACATCAGAAATCAGCGGTTCTTACACCAGTCTACAAGTCTCCTCACACACATGGTTCCAAGTAAATTTATATGGAAGGACAATCTCTCCCTAGCTTTTGCCTGTTCCAGGCTCATGTCTTGAGTTTGTGGCTTCTCAGCTGTGCAGCTGCACGAAGAGCTCTTCCAGACCAAAACCATTCAGTTGTGGGGTTTTTTTGTTTGTTTTTAACTGCTGTTCCATTTCCAAGCAAAGCCATGTGAATGCAGGCTGACAAGCTGAGACTCCTGCTAAATACCTCTTTATCTTCATAGGCCATAGACGTGGCACAGTTTGGGCAACACACTTGACGCCTCGGACACTCTTGGGTCATGTGCTCCTTCAGATGGTTCTTTGGGAAGGCTCCTTGGCACTGTGGGCATTCCACAGTGGAAAAATCACACTGCAGCTGGTGGTCCTGCAGAAGGGCAGAAGAGGGATTTGATACTTCAACAAGAGCTTTCATCTCATCCATTTTCAAGATAAAGCAGGGTGCAAGACAAATGAATCACAATCTTTCCTTCATGCAAGGAAATCCTTATACATTTATGCTGACTACCAACAACAGCCTGTTACTGTCCCACTGCTAAGGTCAGGTTTCATATATTCCGAGCTTTAGGAAACCTCTCATAAAAATTTAGTTTTATATTTATTCTTTTAACTGCATCTATTATTTTCCAAAACAATTATTTCAACTTATATATGTAGCTACTTTGAGAGACTATTAAACTGACTTTAAGAAATTTGTGTGAAGCATAGACATAGCTGATCAAAAGACAAACATGAATGATCCTCAGCAGAAAGCTGCATTAGTACAACTGTCATTCACTGTGATATTCACTTGAAAATCACCTAACTACAATTAAATACTCATTAAGAACTAATAGGTGTAGCTACAGTCTTTAAAAAAAATGCACTGAGTCAGCACAAATGAGTACCAGGTATGACCATGTATTTGAGTTATTGTGAATCTTTACTCGTCCATGAAAACAAAGTTCTGTATTTTCAAAACTATTTCTCACCTCTAAGTGCCTGAGCTCCATCTTCATGCTGCAGCCCTTGTTGGGACACTTGACCGTTAATGAAAGGATTTCCCGTTTGGCAAAATTGTCAGGAAAAAGTTGATTTTCAAGCAGAATTTCATTGTCTACAGGACATTTGTGACCTGCATCTCTGCAATGCAGAAAAGCAAGGAAAGATATTCCAATATTACCAACTTGTGACCTGCATCTCTACAATGCAGAAAAGCAAGGAAAAATATTCCAATATTACCAAGAGATTTCCAAGCACTTAATTTAAAATATTTTTACAACAGCAAGACATTAGTGGTCAAATAATAACACAGTAAGAACATCTTTGAAAACAATAGTATTTATGTGGCAACGACCAGAAAATATGAAATGTATTTCAGAAAAATGGAAAACACACAGTTTCACTGGAGGTGGCATGACTGGGGTTGCAGCACTTTTCAAACTCAAACACATTTTATTTGTACAAATGCCACATTAAGTACTCTGGAAACAAACTTGAGGAATACGTAAAGACACTAAGAACTTACAGTCCTTTTTCTGTAAGTACTTCACATAGCTCAAACATCAAAGAATATTCCACATAGTACTTCAAAACAATTCAAAACTTAAACTTTCTTAACCTCCTCTCATTTCTTTCTCATAAACAGTCAGGGTGATCACAGCTAAGAGAAAATGCAAAATTGTATTTTTTTCCAGATTGACTTCATCTGTTTGGCATTACATTACACACTGCTCAGTTTGCTGGCTTTGTTTTACAACCATTTGATCAGTTGGTCATCCTTCAATTTCATTATACAGCAAACAGGGTGAAAATCTCTAGACACAAAAATTAATAGTAACTATGAAAATTACACTGGATTTGGAACCAGGTGTTGCATCTGAGGCCATTTTAACAGCAAACAGACTGGAAGTCAGTGCTGACTGATGAAAGTTTGGAATCTGATGGAACAGGATGCATGCAACCTGCACAAGGTAACTAACAGCCTGTTCCAGTTCATCAGGTTCTGTCTACCTGCATGCATATACAAAAAACACTAGAAAGGGAGTAAAAAAGGGGATCACCTCCATCAGATTTTCCAGTACCAGCTCATTCTGAAAGGCCAACATATCGATTCACAATTAAGTAATGCAGTTAAAGAGGCATGAGGGATCAAAGCTCCTGAGTGCTAATGGAAACAGCAATAAAATGGAAAAATACATGGGGTGGAAAAATGTCAGAGAGCGCTTGTGGTGCAAGGATCAAAGGCCAGATCATTGTCACTGCCTGCAAGCACGAGGGGAAGTAGGACCTAGTGGGCTGTGGAGACTGGGAAGGAATTTATGCTCTTTGTTGGAAAAGGAAATAATTGCTCAGCAACTCCATCAGCAACGCTGCTAAGAGGAAATGGAGGTAAAGCTGCCACTTCAAAGAGGCAATGAACTTCCTTTCACAGGTTTTGCTTGCAGAGCAAGCTCACCACATGCCTGAGAATCGTACTCCTAAACAAGTGGAAGAAAGAAAACGCCTAGCTTGCCTTGTTTCAGAGCTCCCCGAGCTACAACCAGTGTGATCTTTGTCAGAAGCCAGAAATGCTCCCTCACTTCACAACCTACAGGAAATCAGTTTTCACAGGTATAACTTGGTTATAAACACTCTGTTTAGTGGAGTATAAAGACAGCTCAATAGGCCTGCTGGTAAGACAGCAGCTTCATTTCTACAAAGAAAAGCTAATCATGAATAAGAGCAGCCAACAGCAGATTAATGTGAAATAATTATTACCAAATCCCCAGTTTAAATAATTAGCAAATAAAGGACAAAATAAGAATGACATGCAATTTTCCAAAGTAGAAAAGTGTAGTAAGGAAAAACCAGTAACTCATTGTAGGATATTAAACAGGCTTCAAATACTATTTACAAGGATCAGAATTGTGTGCTAAGAACCATCTACAAAGGTGTTGCTATACATTTCCTGTGACAGAATTGAGTTTATGCACCTCACTTCTAACTTACATTACAGTGAAGGCTTTCCTATGCTGAATTATTTATCACATTGCACTCTGCCACTCACAACAGTACCTGTGAAACAATGGTCATCTGCTACCAAGTGCAGTGAATATTCCTGTAATTTCCCCTGAGATTAAAATACAGGTATCAAGAGTAAAGCCAGAATAATTTTGAAAGAAAAGACTGCTCTATGATTTTAACAAGTGAGCAGTTTAGCCAAGAAGCTGAGACAGCTGGCAGAGAATTTAAGTGCATCCATGCCAGCTGCTGGATGAACTGCCAGCACCCAAAGATTTCCCTGCTGCCCCTTCTTACCTCACAACTCTGCTTTTCCAATAAACAGAAGACTGGAGTGAAATTGAATTAGCTACTGCACCTGAAGTTAGTTCTTCTAAAATTTCCAGTAAGGTATTTTGTTGACAAGTAACATTCATAAACTCATTTGTAGTTACTTAGGTAGATAAGCCTCTCTCCTTCCATGACTTACAGCACTTCCAAGCACTTCAGACAGCTTTATTTGAAAGCTGCCAAGACTTTCTGGGAGGCAAACATTTACTGTGATCAAATATCATCTAATCATGTCCTTCACACTGTAAGATCGAAGAGTGTAGTTTTAAAAGGTTTTCCAATTTTTTTCTAGTTGCAGCCACAACTTCTTCAACACAAACAACTACAATTGTTTGTTTAAGTCACAAGAAGAAATAAGTCAAAAAATGCTTGTCCATCCTTCATAATTTCAAATCCTTAATCTCTGTGTTTACTTAAGACAGTGGTGAAATGAGGAATAAAGAGAAGCAATTTTTCTTGATCAAATGAAGGCTGTGACAATCACTTAGTGAAAAAATAAACAGTACTTAGAGAATGTAAAATATCACCTTCCATTTTCATTTTAGCTCTGAAGAAGCTTCTCAATACCTCAATCAATCTGGTACTGTAGACAGTACATACTGCAAATCGATACTGTACTGTAGACACTACATAATCCAAATCAATAGCTTGATCCATGGATACCAATTACACATGCAGTTCAGCTCTTCAGGGATTCAGAGAGGTCTGGCACTTCAAGCTGTCCCTCCTGCTTTCACAAGCATTCACTCAAACTGTCCTCCAAAGACAGAGTTCAGTGGGGAATGAGGGAAAACTTTTACTAGCAATGAAACAGCTGAAATATTACACTGATGATCTACAGTCTCAAAAGAAAAAAATGCTTTCCACCTTGTTTAGAATTCACTAAAACAGTCATCACCATTCACAGAAATGATGTAAAATAGAGAAAGGGTATAAAAGAAGCAGAAACTTCTGGTCATGGTTCTTTCCATGGAGAAATTCTTCCTGGGAATTTATGTAGCTGAATAATTACAGAGAAGCCCACAAAACACTGTATTCAGAGAACATAACTGCTGGCATACTATTCATTTAGTGAGCTACAAATGATGGATAGAGAAGAAAAAGAAATTGAATAGAACTATGGACAAATGGTATGAAAAATCAATCAAAAAGCGCTGTCCATTTTGCGTGCTATAAAATAAAAAAAACCCCAGTAACATTGAAGACAGTTTAATGATCTTTACACAAAAGTGTGCAAAGTAAGGTTGAAAATGAGCCAATTCTACATATGATTCACAAAGAATTGAATATATAAATTCCTACCAAAGTGACATTTGAGCTAAGTGAGCAAGTGCTGAGAAAAAAACTTGGCTTATGCTGTAAAGGAAAAAATGCTAGAGCATAATATCTATCACTGTAATCCAATACTCACTCACAGGTGTGGGGACATTGATGACTTCATTCCAGGTTTAAGGCAAGTGCCCTCTACAAGGTATTCTCTGCCCTTTCTTGCTCTTTCAATAATCTGTTTTTAGAAGCCCAGCATGCTCTTGCCTTTGTATCTTATTCCCAGTCCCTCATATGCCACCTGATTTCCTCTCTCAATGCTATTCCCTCATCACATTCTCTCTTTCAGCTCAAGAAGGAAGCAGCTAATTTCAAGTGAAGAACTGAAAGCATGAATTGCTTTATCTGCACCAAGAAATCAGGTTGTCTGTAGTTTCCTGTAGTTATCAAGAGAAACAGTCATAGGCAAAAGACAGGTAATTTTCTAATCCTGAGCTGGAAGTGGAATTTATTTGGAAGATTTGTCTATATTTCTTTTTTTAATTATTATTTGAAGTTTAATCATTTTTTTAGATTCACAACCCAGGGAAATTTGGAAAAACGGCAAACTAAAGCTCATAAAACTTCCAAACTTGTGACATTTTGGCACCTTTAATGAATAATAAATTTCCAGACTTCTGTCAGCACTCACTGGCAATGCACCTTGGGCATCTCTATTCAGTTTAGATTGACCTTCAACCGCTCTGGTTCGTGAATGTCAAGTTTCCACTTCTTCCCCAAGTTTACCTTATAGACTTGACGATGCAGCCTTTGCAGAAACGGTGGCCGCACGGCGTCTGCACCGCCTCTCGGAGAGCCATCAAGCAGATGGGACACTCGTACTTGCTCTCGAGGGGCGGGTCGAACTCCACGTCGTATCCCTGCGTGTCGTGGCCGAAGGAGCTGCCCGAGGCGGTGGCGCTGCCCGGGCCGGCGCTGTCCTCCTTGGGCGCGCCGCTGCAGGCGCTGGCCATGGCGGCGCAGCAGCCGCTCTCGGCCCGGCCTCCGCAGCTGCTGCCGCTGTGCACCAAGCTCATGGCACCTCGCGGAGGGCACTGCCGCAGCGCAAAAACACACACCCGTTAGCTTACATGCACCTCTACACATTCCCTCCCAGGAAAGAGCCCAAATCGCACGTTTTGTTTTGTCCCCGTTATCTTCTTTGGCTTATCTTGCGATACGCAGGAAAGGACACTGCATCCTGTCAGCAGAGCTCAAACACACCCCGCCCTTACCTCTTTCATATGGCCATCTGATTTCTGTAAAAAGAGGAATCCTCTTTGTCCTTGCTATGTCTGCTGACGATGTTTCTTTACCCCTTCCATATCATTTACTTCTAAGACATTCAAACAGATTTTGTGTGGAAAAAACGCTGTACAGAATCAAGTTGTCTTGGAGGACAACAGCTCAATTCCTTGTCTTCCTTGCAGTGTATATATGTTATTTAGCATTCTCTGAATTAAGCAATTCACAATGCAGATTTCAAATCAACTCAGCTGCAGGACCACAAATAAAATAGAAGTCAAAATACCTAAACTAAGCAGCTGATATGCTGTAATGAAATTCAAATATACAGCACTGCTGATAACATTTTAGAACTGCCAATAGGACTTCAAATGGAGTAAGAAGCTATACATGAGATAAGGATAATAATTCCACAGCTCAAAAGCTATCCACAAATTACTCAAAGAGCTCTTGCTCTCCTTTCCCTCTCCCAGGCTAGCTGGCAGGGAGGACAAGGGACATGATTGTAAGAACAGAAGATAAAAGTCGCCTTTCCCTGTAGAGTAGTGGATGGCATACTAAAGCCTGCTTTTACAACACTCCTCCAAAGCTGGGTGGACTCAGACATGAAATCAAAAAGTGTGGTATCCCTAAATAGATTGCTAGTGTTCCTACACAGAATGAGAGAACCTAAAAAAAAGGCCTTAACAACAAATACAAATTCTAAAGACCAAGAAACCTTCCTCTCCCCTGATTTTTTTTAATGGTTATAATCATTTTCTTAGAATGCTACTGTGGTTAGTTTTCTATAAATGACATTTCTCTGAAAAACAGAGATTATCACCAGCTGCAAGGCAGTATGAGTAGTCTGAGGGTTATGGAGCCAGGCATGCAAAACAAGCCAAATAAGCCCAGATTTTATAATCTTTTGCACAGCAGTATAGGCAAAAGTCTCTTGCAGTGTTCACCTAATGAATTCACTGTAATACCATTATGTCATCTAAAATATATTAGGGATGGAAATCCAATCAAGAGACAAATTTTAAGAACTGTTTATCTGCATCACTACTGCAGATGCTGGAGGCAGCAGAATGAATAGGATTACCATGAATTTACAAACCTGAAAATTTTCTTGCCTATCAAAATTTGCGTATCACAACTCATTTTTACAAAATGTTCATGGGCAGGAGGAGGACATACAGGTAGTTTTTATTTGGGTACTTACTTTATACCACCTTGAGATTACATCAACAGAAATACTAATCACACAAGGCCTCAACTAGCATTTATGGGATATAAATTTTGAACACATGCAAAATCACAGAAATGTGCTTTAGGCCATGTACACGATAAACAACTGGAAATACTCCCCAGATAACACACTATGAGCTATTTTTTTCCAGCTATCCAGACCAAAAAAAAAGAGGCAGATCTATCTAAAGAAAAACAAAGTTGCCATATTTTAGTTATAGTTAGAATAATCTAACCAAAACACTTATTCTGTTGTATAAATATATGACTTTCCATCTTGTTGGGGTATGCAGGGGTATGAGAAGTATCTGAAGAGCAGCATTCTTGACATTTCCAAAATACCATTAAGGTACAGAGCCTCAAAGCACAGGCTGACAGTTCTGAGTTGTACTGAACCAGCCAGCAGTGCTCACCTTCTGCAGAAATAACTCTAGAGCAGAGCTGTCTGGAACTGCACCCAAAGAGTGCTGAGCACTCCAACTCCTGTTTTCCACCCCAAGGTATTGTCCCTGGACACTGTCCATACAACAGGCTTTATAACTGAGGCTCCTAACCACAACAGCAATACCAACTGAACACCAAGCATGCTCTCAGCAGCTGCTCCAGCCATAGTCCAGGCATGACCACTTTAATCCTACAAAGGCACCAGCTCTGCCAGTGACTTAGAGTGCATGCAGAGGAATCAATGCTTAAAAAGATGCTCTCTGACAGAGATTTTTTGTTTTTAGCCTGCCATCAGTAGATCTGTTCTCTGTGAAGAAGAAACCCAGCTTGTTTCCACTGTTAAACTAACATAAATTATTTAACAACTGCTGCAGAGGATGATCATGGGCTACACTTCATGAAAAATCACAGGAACTAAATTGGGTCAATGGAGTGGGAATGTTGGTATGCAGGATATTAGAATTAGTGCTAGGCCAGTCTAGGACTGAAAAATTCACATTACTCTAAGCCACAGGGGTATATTTAGTGAGACTAAGAAAGGGAAGAGGAACATAGGTCCCTTTAGCAATGTCACAAAGGAATTCAGGAAGTCACAAGAAGAAATATATAACAGCTTTGCTCAAATTCAGCTGTCACATTAATTGCAAAGTGTGTGACTTGTCTCTTGAGCTATTCCTAGGAAAAAAAATCCCATAGTATATGAAAATTATGTTCTTATAAAGAAGAAACCAGGACCTGACTTGGTATAATCTCACTAGCTGAACACTTTGTAGATTTAAGTGCTATGCAAGCAGTGTCTCTTTGGCCATTTGAATTGTTTCTACAGATATAGCAGGTATGTATATTCAGTTTACAGAAACAAAACTCCCATACAGAGTCAGTTTAATGAATGAGTCACTGCAATCAGTTGACATCCTAGTATGACCAAAAAGCCCCATTATTCAGTGATATACTCCACTCCTACATGGAGCTTTTTATCTGCATATGACCAAGTGGTTCACAAAAAAAGAAGTGCAAGTCTCTTTTTAAGTTGGGAAATTCAGGTACAAAGAGGCAACTTAAGGTGATTAAGAGCCGGATTTTAAACTTTGTTCACATTTTATCTAAGACAGGATTCCTCCTACTACTCTTATCCATTTCATCTTATCTGTGAGCAAAATCCTCCTTCCTCCACACATATTTTAGGTGTGGGGCAAGGCACAATTTTCCAAATCAAAATCCACACTGCTGTTACTCAAACAATTAACCAAGGCCTTATTACTCCACCATAGCTTAAACTAATTTCTCTCTATGTTGTAACTCCTGTACTAGGAATTAGATCTGTTTCTTGTGGAAGTTACTTTATCCTCCAAGAGTAGAACACAGGTTTAATCTTTTTGGACAGAGCAGTGCTAGGAAAAAATCAGCTACAGAAAAGTGTACTTTGAATGGTAATTATAGGTCTTTTCCCCAGTGAAGGTAGAGCAGACAACCTGTGAGCTTACTGTAGCAGTTTTTCACCTTCCTCTCCTGGGGAATTAAAAAAATGCTTAGGTTGGAAAAGGATGGATTTTAACTCCCAAACGATGATATATACCAAAATTCAAATCAAGCTGCTATCCTTTCTTTTTGATTATGAAACAGGTTTCCAGTGAAATAAAAACTAAGATCTCCTAAAAACCACATTAGTTTTTCTCCTTATTTAGAATAGTTGCTATTCTTCATTCCTCTGTGCTGAACAAAACGGAGTCAAATGCAAGTACAATATCCGAATACTAATTTATAATACCTTGTGTACACCACAGCCTTGAGAACTTATCCTTTTTTAAACAGGGTAATAATACAATAAACACTTTTCTAGACTGCTCTCTCTACCTTTTTTGTTTCCACAACATCCAGCTTCCAGATTCAGGAAGAACTGTAAATAAACTGGATCATTACATAGTAATTCCTGCTTTTGCTAGCATGAGGTTTCTAAGGCAGAGAAAGTCTTCAACTACATTTGGTAATGTACCTGAAATGCTCTTTTCTAGAGCTGGGAAGTGCTGCCAGACCTGCTGACTCTGGAGATAATGGGCTTTAGCCTGGGCACAGAGGTATCCAGGCCTTGGGCTGGCAAAGATTGATTTCACTCTCCAAGGCAACAGCGGTGTTGTTTGCCAGCAGAAAGGAAGGTGCTTTCCATGCCAAAGGGTCATGGACAGAACTTGTTGGATCAATACCTGTGCTGCAGAAGTCTGGGAATGCCCTAAGGACGAAACTTTCAGGCCCCATAAAGGACAGTTAAAAGATAGAAAAGGAGTCGCCAACCCACTCTTCCAACTTTAAACCATAATGACACCTTTCTTCACTAAGTAACCTGTGCTCTGTTGCTATTTACATTGCTACATTACAAAGTGATTAGGCTGATGTGAGATAGCACAGTCAGACCAGAAGAGCAAACTCCTGCAAGAATAATGTACCTTATGATCGACAAAAACTACTTCAAAACAGAAATTAAACTGCCCATGTATTAAATTAATGCATGCAACAAAACTCTGATTTTTTCAACTCCCATAGTGTAATCAAGTTTAGGTAGGATTTCTATAGATTTTCAAGTACCAAACTCCTCTAAATAAAAAAAATATAAAAATCACTGGTATCAGATATCTTCAAATTATCTTCAGATTGCCTGTAAAATCCCACTATCATTAAGAGTATTAGGAAGGAAGTAAAAGTAGGCATTGTATACTATTTACATTGATTTTCAAGCATTTGGCAAACTTAAGGAATAGGGTGCAGAGAAGTGTCAGTTGTTATAAGAGAAAATTTTTATTATAAATCAGGAAGTACTTAATACAATTAATTTCCACATGACATTTCCTGGAAAATTGACGCTGACTGCCCATATAAATAAGGCATCAATACAGAAGACTATTCCAAATCCTTTTACTTACTCAAAGTTCACAAATGTAATTAATTTCCTTGCATCCTGGCCAGCACACACCCAGCAGGGGAAATGCTTTTAGCACTGCATCAACAGAAAAACTGGTCAAACTTTTTCTCTTTTCTTCCTCTGCTATGTATATGTGTGTATAGATTTCTGGGTCATGAGACTGACAGACCAGTGGAGTGACTTTGGATAATCTGTTTATGGAGA